CTGTGATCCTTTCTAAAATTAGGAGGGAACTAGGACAGAGGTTAGCCCACTGCTCACAAAAGGACGAAAGAAATTTACCAGAGGCTGGAGTTTAGCTTTAGATTATGAGCAAAGTTCTGGTCCATCTTGCATGAGCCAAACATTGAGTGAAACAGTAGGGACTCTCTCCTATTATGGTCACAACTTGTACAAGCCCATGATAAATTTTGTACAAAGTGTGCCCTGAGAGGTATCATTTGGAAAGTCATAATCTGCTCCCATAGTATCATAATCCCATTGAAATATGTACAGCAACACTATATGTGAAGCTGTGAGATTCTATTGTATGAATGTTACTAAAATATCCTATAATTCTGGGTAACACCCACAGACCAGTTTTTCAGAGACAAAGACACATTGGCATCCCAGGCTAGAGAATTGAGGAGACACAGCTATTCACTATATGTCATACCTATACAACAGAAAAACAGAATATGGGACTACTGCTGCAAAGTCAGGGAGCCCCATTAAGGGGGTACACTCAACCATTTTGCAGGCTTCCTGATGCCATTTCCATTAGCTGTTGGGAGGAGATAGGGTGCATGCTACTCCTGTTTGGAGCAGCAGTAAGGAATACTATAGATCATGTTCCCCCACAAGCAGAGTAGCCTAAGGTAGGATCCCTCACTTGTCTGTTTCCCCTTAACACCTCTTGTACTTCGTTCAAACACAGTATCTTTTGATCTCAAGTTTTAGCATCTGTTTCATTAACCTCACTGTACCATGCCTGGTCACCAATCACCTATATGAGCGGAGTATGAAAAATGTTGTAATATTTTATCTATATGAATGATCTGATTATAGCTAGATCAGGTATCATTCTATACCAATGGTAAGCTTCTATCAAACTTAAAAACTACAATACTACTGGAGATAAAGATATTCTGATAACTAGCTTTTTAATACTCTCCCAACCCCCAAAAAGTTCATTCTTCTAAGGTGTTCTAGAACTAATTCATAGTGGGTAAATGCCACATAAGTGTTTTGTTTATTACTTACAATTAGTCTAATTTGAGTTATTTTAGTGTTCAGGTGTAGTAGGGATCCTAACTGCACTATAATGTAATATCTTCCCCTTTCTGTGTACAAAGAAGTTCTTTGCTCTGTTTACTATGGGTGGTAGTTGTCCTCAGACCAAGGTTTCACTAGGTAAGACAATTTTACTACAACTTAGTGACTGTTTCATAACAGACATTCTATCTAACTATCACATCAAACTCTTCCTGCCCAGCACTGAGAGTAACAAGAAAAATCAAAGGTCTCCTCCTTTCCAAGTATTAAAATACACACTACAAACTCCTCAACCCAAACCTCCATTTTCCACCAAACCTTTCCCCTTCCTCTTTTTATTCCTGTCAGGTGGACCTGGAATGCTAATAATTCCCAGCTGCACCTGATCTTCAGCCAATTAATTGCCACTGCTTTGTTCTCTAGAACATTAAGAGAAAGTGAACTTTCCTTATGAGTTACTTGTTTTTTCCTGCATAGAAAAAACAATTGACCAAAAATGGCATAACAGCAGCAACATGGATTTCAATGCTTTATCCACAGAACAAGTATGGCTCAGAAAGCAATTCCCAGTTGGAATTTGAAGGATCCAATAGAGAGCTGAGAGAGTATAACAGTCTCTATGCTAATCCAGCCCTTAACCTCTCCACTGAGCCTACATGTTAAATTTTCAAACAAGCACTTTTGTGCTTTCTCCCAAGCTGCTCCTCACACTTGGGAGAAACACCCCATAAACATTTGGAAAGCTACCTCATTACCCACTTTCCAAACCCTCCTTAAAATTCTCATTTGCTATGATGCCTACAAAAAAAAACTTGACAATGGTTAGACTCTGGGTGTGCTGAGTCCACTGCCTATCATGGCTTCCTTGTAATTCCACATTCATCTGTGTGTATCCCTTTAATATCTCATTGTACATTTAGACTGTAAGCTCTTTGGGGAAGGACCATCTTTTTGATCTGTGTTTTACAGCACCTAGCACAATGATTCCTGCTCCATGACTATGGCTCCTATGTCCTATGATTAAGTTATGTGATGGGGTATACAAATCCCACACTGGGATGGAAGGGGTTAAAGGACAGTGCGGGGGGGGGCAATTAGTCCCGCCCCTCTACCCTGCAGAGCATGCTCCAACTGGAGACAGGGTTGAAAAGGGAACAACCCAGCTCAGAAGGTGGAGGAGGAGTATATACCTATCTTGGGGTATGTCTACACTACGGAATAAGGTCGAATTTATAGAAGTCGGTTTTTTAGAAATCGGTTTTATAAATTCGAGTGTGTGTGTCCCCACAGAAAATGCTCTAAGTGCATTAAGTGCATTAACTCGGCGGAGCGCTTCCACAGTACCGAGGCAAGCGTCGACTTCTGGAGCGTTGCACTGTGGGTAGCTATCCCACAGTTCCCGCAGTCTCCGCTGCCCATTGGAATTCTGGGTTGAGATCCCAATGCCTGATGGGGCTAAAACATTGTCGCGGGTGGTTCTGGGTACATATCGTCAGCCTCCCGTTCCCTCCCTCCCCCCGTGAAAGCAAGGGCAGACAATCATTTCGCGCCTTTTTCCTGAGTTACCTGTGCAGACGCCATACCATGGCAAGCATGGAGCCCGCTCAGGTAACCGTCACCCTATGTCTCCTGGGTGCTGGCAGACGCGGTACGGCTTTGCTGCACAGTAGCAGCAACCCCTTGCCTTCTGGCAGCAGACGGTGCAATACGACTGGTAGTCGTCCTCATCGTGTCCGAGGTGCTCCTGGCCGCGTCGGCTGGGAGCGCCTGGGCAGACATGGGCGCAGGGACTACATTTGGAGTGACTTGACCAGGTCATTCTCTTTAGTCCTGCAGTCAGTCCTATTGAACCGTCTTATGGTGAGCAGGCAGGCGATACGGACTGCTAGCAGTCGTACTGTACCATCTTCTGCCAGGCAGGCAAGAGATGAGGATTGCTAGCAGTCGTATTGCACCATCTTCTGCCAGGCAGGCAAGAGATGGGGATGGCTAGCAGGCGTACTGTACCATCTTCTGCCGAGCAGCCATGAGATGTGGATGGCATGCAGTCCTTCTGCACCGTCTGCTGCCAGCCAAAGATGTAAAAGATAGATGGAGTGGGTCAAAACAAGAAATAGACCAGATTTGTTTTGTACTCATTTGCCTCCTCCCCTGTCTAGGGGACTCATTCCTCTAGGTCACACTGCAGTCACTCACAGAGAAGGTGCAGCGAGGTAAATCTAGCCATGTATCAATCAGAGGCCAGGCTAACCTCCTTGTTCCAATAACAACGATAACTTAGGTGCACCATTTCTTATTGGAACCCTCCGTGCAGTCCTGCCTGAAATACTCCTTGATGTACAGGCACCCCCTTTGTTGATTTTAGCTCCCTGAAGCCAACCCTGTAAGCCGTGTCGTCAGTCGCCCCTCCCTCCGTCAGAGCAACGGCAGACAATCGTTCCGCGCCTTTTTTCTGTGCGGACGCCATACCACGGCAAGCATGGAGCCCGCTCAGCTCACTTTGGCAATTAGGAGCACATTAACCACCACACGCATTATTCAGCAGTATATGCAGCACCAGAACATGGCAACGCGATACCGGGCGAGGAGGCGACGTCAGCGCGGTCCCGTGAGTGATCAGGACATGGACACAGATTTCTCTGAAAGCATGGGCCCTGACAATGCATGCATCATGGTAGGCTAATGGGGCAGGTTCATGCTGTGGAACGCCGATTCTGGGCTCGGGAAACAAGCACAGACTGGTGGGACCGCATAGTGTTGCAGGTCTGGGACGATTCCCAGTGGCTACGAAACTTTCGCATGCGTAAGGGCACTTTCATGGAACTTTGTGACTTGCTTTCCCCTGTCCTGAAGCGCATGAATACCAAGATGAGAGCAGCCCTCACAGTTGAGAAGCGAGTGGCGATAGCCCTGTGGAAGCTTGCAACGCCAGACAGCTACCGGTCAGTTGGGAATCAATTTGGAGTGGGCAAATCTACTGTTGGGGCTGCTGTGATGCAAGTAGCCCACGCAATCAAAGATCTGCTGATATCAAGGGTAGTGACCCTGGGAAATGTGCAGGTCATAGTGGATGGCTTTGCTGCAATGGGATTCCCTAACTGTGGTGGGGCTATAGATGGAACCCATATCCCTATCTTGGCACCGGAGCACCAAGCCGCCGAGTACATAAACCGCAAGGGGTACTTTTCGATAGTGCTGCAAGCTCTGGTGGATCACAAGGGACGTTTCACCAACATCAACGTGGGATGGCCGGGAAAGGTGCATGATGCTCGCATCTTCAGGAACTCTGGTCTGTTTCAAAAGCTGCAGGAAGGGACTTTATTCCCAGACCAGAAAATAACTGTTGGGGATGTTGAAATGCCTATATGTATCCTTGGGGACCCAGCCTACCCCTTAATGCCATGGCTCATGAAGCCGTACACAGGCAGCCTGGACAGTGGTCAGGAGCTGTTCAACTACAGGCTGAGCAAGTGCAGAATGGTGGTAGAATGTGCATTTGGACGTTTAAAGGCGCGCTGGCGCAGTTTATTGACTCGCTTAGACCTCAGCGAAACCAATATTCCCACTGTTATTACTGCTTGCTGTGTGCTCCACAATATCTGTGAGAGTAAGGGGGAGACGTTTATGGCGGGGTGGGAGGTTGAGGCAAATCGCCTGGCTGCTGGTTACGCGCAGCCAGACACCAGGGCGGTTAGAAGAGCACAGGAGGGCGCGGTACGCATCAGAGAAGCTTTGAAAACCAGTTTCATGACTGGCCAGGCTACGGTGTGAAAGTTCTGTTTGTTTCTCCTTGATGAACCCCCCCACCCCTTGGTTCACTCTACTTCCCTGTAAGCTAACTACCCTCCCCCTCCTCCCTTTAATCATTGCTTGCAGAGCCAATAAAGTCATTGCTGCTTCACAGGCATGCATTCGTTATTCATTCATCACACAAATAGGGGGATGACTACCAAGGTAGCCCAGGAGGGGTGGTGGAGGAGGGAAGGAAAATGCCACACAGCACTTTAAGCACAGCACTTTAAAAGTTTACAACTTTAAAATTTATTGAATGACAGCCTTCTTTTTTTTGGGCAATCCTCTGTGGGGGAGTGGCTGGTTGGCCGGAGGCCTCCCCACCGCGTTCTTGGGCGTCTGGGTGTGGAGGCTATGGAACTTGGGGAGGAGGGCGGTTGGTTACAGAGGGGCTGCAGTGGCAGTCTGTGCTCCAGCTGCCTTTGCTGCAGCTCAACCATACACTGGAGCATACTGGTTTGGTCCTGCAGCAGCCTCAGCATTGAATCCTGCCTCCTCTCATCACACTGCCGCCACCTTTGAGCTTCAGCCCTGTCTTCAGCCCGCCACTTACTCTCTTCAGCCCGCCACTTACTCTCTTCAGCCCTCCACCTCTCCTCCCGGTCATTTTGTGCTTTCCTGCACTCTGACATTATTTGCCTCCACGCATTCGTCTGTGCTCTGTCAGTGTGGGAGGACAGCATGAGCTCGGAGAACATTTCATCGCGAGTGCGTTTTTTTTTTCTTTCTAAGCTTCACTAGCCTCTGGGAAGGAGAAGATCCTGTGATCATTGAAACACATGCAGCTGGTGGAGAAAAAAAAAAGGGACAGCGGTATTTAAAAAGACACATTTTATAAAACAGTGGCTACACTCTTTCAGGGTAAACCTTGCTGTTAACATTACATACATAGCACATGTGCTTTCGTTACAAGGTCGCATTTTGCCTCCTCCCACCGCGTGATTTTGGTTGAATGCCAGCAAACATACACTGCAATGCTTTGTTCTACAGTGATTCCCCAGTACGTGTTGCTGGCCTGGAGTGGTAAAGTGTCCTACCATGAAGGACGAAATAAGGCTGCCCTCCCCAGAAACCTTTTGCAAAGGCAGAACCGCAAATGCCAGGGCAAAGTAATCCTTTCACATGCTTGCTTTTAAACCATGTATAGCATTTTAAAAGGTACACTCACCAGAGGTCCCTTCTCCGCCTGCTGAGTCCAGGAGGCAGCCTTGGGTGGGTTCGGGGGTACTGGCTCCAGGTCTAGGGTGAGAAACAGTTCCTGGCTGTCGGGAAAACCGGTTTCTCCGCTTGCTTGCTGTGAGCTATCTACAACCTCCTCATCATCATCTTCTTCGTCCCCAAAACCTACTTCTGTATTGCCTCCATCTCCATTGAAGGAGTCAAACAACACGGCTGGGGTAGTGGTGGCTGAACCCCCTAAAATGGCATGCAGCTCATCATAGAAGCGGCATGTTTGGGGCTCTGACCCAGAGCGGCTGTTCGCCTCTCTGGTTTTCTGGTAGGCTTGCCTCAGCTCCTTCAGTTTCACGCGGCACTGCTTCGGGTCCCTGTTATGGCCTCTGTCCTTCATGCCCTGGGAGATTTTCAGAAAGGTTTTGGCATTTCGAAAACTGGAACGGAGTTCTGATAGCACGGATTCCTCTCCCCAAACAGCGATCAGATCCCGTACCTCCCGTTCAGTCCATGCTGGAGCTCTTTTGCGATTCTGGGACTCCATCATGGTCACCTCTGCTGATGAGCTCTGCATGGTCACCTGCAGCTTGCCACGCTGGCCAAACAGGAAATGAGATTCAAAAGTTCGCGGTTCTTTTCCTGTCTACCTGGCCAGTGCATCTGAGTTGAGAGCGCTGTCCAGAGCGGTCAGAATGGAGCACTCTGGGATAGCTCCCGGAGGCCAATACCATCGAATTGTGTCCACAGTACCCCAAATTCGAGCCGGCAACGTCGATTTAAGCGCTAATCCACTTGTCAGGGGTGGAGTAAGGAAATCGATTTTAAGAGCCCTTTAAGTCGAAATAAAGGGCTTCATTGTGTGGACGGGTGCAGGTTTAAATCGATTTAACGCTGCTAAATTCGACCTAAAGTCCTAGTGTAGACCAGGAAAGGCTTTTACCAAAAGGCGCTAGACATGCCTCCCTGAAATGCCAGTACTGTGTGCTGAGCTATATTGGGGCTGATAGTTTGGTTTCCTTTTCTTTATCTAGGAGCAGAAGTGGAGGGAAGCAGTGGTAGGAAGTGATCCAAGGAGGGTAACTTAGAGGGTCCCCCCACACTATGGAGATCCAATACTGCTAACCCTCCTAGGGCCCTGGCTTGGAGCCCAGTGGAGTGGGCAGGCCTGGGCTCCCCTACCAATGCCTCATGCTAATCACTAGGCCTCACAGTCCACCAAGGACCTTATTACAGGCCACCACAACAAGGACAAAGGTAATCAACTCGTTGCATATAGCAAGACCACTAGACAGCCTTCAGGTCAGTAATAACTCTTGATTGGGTAGGCTTCATCCGGTGAACTGAGTGAAAGATTGCAAGCCTCTAGTCAGCCAATAATTTTTCTAAACTTCTCAAGTAAATTCCTTAACTACCCTTGACCACTAAGGGGTGCACACCTAGTTTCTGTTTATCTTTTTGTATTACCTGGAATATTTCTATTTTTGATTTTTAAAAAAATCTTAATCTTTGAGGGATCTGTGAGAATTCCCTTGTTTCCCTTTGTATGCTCAAAACAGATTTAAGAGCTTTCCACCTCTTTTAACTATCAGGCTAACAACTTCACCACTTTATTTCCTGAATTATAATCATTCCATTGTTAGAAAAGTGTGTACTTAGTTCCCCCCTCTCCACAGGAATATTTGATTTAGTTTGGATTTATTTTTATTCTGTTTCAGCATTTTCTTTCTTCACAGAGAGACAGAGATACCTGATAATACAGCTCCATTGTCTTTATAACATTTGTGTTTTCCCTTGCAATTCTCCTTTTCATTATTCCTATCATATTTTTTCTCTTTGCAAAATCTTTAGAAAATACGTTCCAGCATATCAAAGCCCTCTGTTGCTAGGGAAATCTTATTAACTTTAAAGAAGTTTTGCAATTCATTTAGAATATCTGCTACTATCATGTTGTCTTTCATGAATGAATATTTAAGGCTCCAAAATGCATGGATTTCCGTTTAGCAATCTCTTTTTAACATTAATGGCTAGATCTTCAGCTGGTGAGAATCTGTCTAAGTCCATTGAAGTCAATGGAGTTGTGCCAATTTATACCAGCTGAGGATCTGGCCATAAATCTACAGGATGATGATGATTAAGACAACTAAATATATTCCACACCAGCCTACATGATACCAGAAGATAATCAACATTACAATCTAGGACAAATATCTACCCCCAAATATCTGCTAGCTCCTTATCTTTACATGGAGTTTTAGATTTCAGATAGATATTGCAAGTGATAATCTAATCTACTGGGTTTCAGTTCTCATTTCTCTCCTTTTTACAATTAGGATGTCCTTCACTTCTTAATATATCTCTTATGAAAGTGGCGACATCTATGTTATGAGCTAATTATTTCTTATGTGGCAGATCCTCAGCTGCTGTAAGTTGCAATAGCTCCGTTGACTTCAGTGGTGGTAGGATAATTTACAGCTGGGAAAAGCCAATTATATCTCATAGTCTCTGAAATAATGCACTCTAGGACATGACTAAATGGAAAAGCCTAAGAATATCAATAAATTTAAAAGAGCAGCAATAGGACCAGAATAGAAGTTCTTGGATCCTGGTTCCGAGCCAGGTGAGAGAAGGTAACGTGGTCCATATCCCTCCAGATATTTTCAGGTTATTGGTAGCTGGGGAAAGAGTTTCATTCCTCCTTAGATAGCTCATCAGGCAGTAGAGAGAAGGCTGTGAATCTCCACAAGGTCTTGCTTGATGAGAGAAGTAAAGGCCTAGGGGAAGAATCATGGCTGAGGCATGCTCAAGAGTCAAGGAGATTTCATGGAGGAGTTGGGAGTCTGTCTTCAAAAACTTCTAACTTGGAGTACCTGTCAGAAATTAACTTGTGACAACCTTTCTCTGTAGGTTTCTATACTGTGGCTCTCACCGTAAAAACTTTAGCTTCCTCCCTCACTTTAATCAAATTGCAAAACAATGAGTGTTTGCTGTGTTTTATCATCAGTTACAACCTACGCTTGATGGGGATCACAGCTTGAAAGAAATCTTTCCCACATAACCTCTTGTGGCCTTCAAACAACCCCCCAACATCACCAAATTTCTCCTCAGAAGCAAGATTCCCAGAGACCAGAATAAACCAACTGAAAGCATCACCAGACCTTTCTGGAACAACAGATGCAAAACCTGGAGAGACATCTCCACTGCTCCAATGATTAATACACTCCGCAACACACCTTTCAAGATCCATAAGCCTTATACTTAAAAAGAAAAGGAGTACTTGTGGCACCTTAGAGACTAACCAATTTATTTGAGCATGAGCTTTCGGCTGTAGCTCACGAAAGCTCATGCTCAAATAAATTGGTTAGTCTCTAAGGTGCCACAAGTACTCCTTTTCTTTTTGCGAATACAGACTAACACGGCTGTTACTCTGAAACAAGCCTTATACTTGCCTATCACAACATGTAGTGTACCTCATCCAGTGCATCAAATACCCCAACAACAATTATGTGGGTGAAACCAGACAATCACTATGCTCTCAAAAGAACTCCCACAGAAAAATTATAAAAGACCAAAATACCCTGTCTCCCATGAAAAAACACTTTTCACAAAGTGATCACACTATATCTGACCAGTCAGTTTGTGTCTTCAAAGGAAATCTGCAGAACGCCTTCAAAAGATGAGCCCAGGAACTTAAACTCATAATGCTGCTGGATACTGAAGTTATGTTGACATAAGCTGTAATGTAGATATAGCTTATGTCACTCTGGGAGGGTGAATAAATAATCTCCCTGAGCGACGTAAGTTACACCGACATAAGTGCCGGTATGAACAGCGCTATGTTGGTGGGAGAACTTCTCCAGCCGACATAGCTTCCAGCTGACATAGCTACCACCTCTCACGGAGGTTGTTTTATTTTGCTGATGGGAGAGCTCTCTCTCCCATCAGCATAGAGTATCTTCCCCAGACATGCTGCATGGGCAGAGCTATATGTGTAGACAAACCCTAAAAAACACCGATTTAACAGAGACACTGGTTTGATAGCCTATTATAACAACTTGTAACAAACCCTGCTGTCTATTAACCCTGCATTGTCCTACAACTACAGGTGTTAATTGAGCAAGCCATTTTCAGTGGTCTCCTAAAACATGTGTGAACCTCTTATGTTTAACAATCTGTCTCATCTTATATTTAGCATGGACATTCTAGTTTCTTTCTGCAGACTTAAAGAAGAGCTCTGTGAAGTGTGAAAGCTTATCCCTTCCACTATCAGATGTTGTCCCAATAAGAGATATTACCTCAGCCTCCTTGTCTCTTTCAAAACAATTAGCAATGGATTAGAATTTGAGTTAGACCATGGGTTCTCAAACTGGGGGTCATGACCCCTCAGGGGGTCACGAAGTTATTATGTAGGGGGTAACAAGCTGTCAGACTGCACCCCAAGCCCTGCTTCACCTCCTGCATTTATAATAGTGCTAAATATTTTTAAAAGTATTTTTAATATATGGGGGGAGGGTTGCTCTCAGAAGTTTGCTGTATGAAAGGGGTCACCAATACAAAAGATTGAGAACCACTGAGTTAGATTGACAAAGTACCAAAATATTAAGATTTTGCTCTCTTTCCAAAGCAAATACACAGTGTTTTGTCAATTCTGATCAAGCCTATATGTCCAATTTACACCTTCATCCTGTATATTGTATTTTTGAGAGAATCTTCCAACCTACCAGATGGCAAAAACGATTTCAATTTATTACCTCTCCCATCATCCTGATCAACTGTACAGTTAGAATGTTTAATGGAACATCAATAATAACATGTCAAAATGTGCCCCATAATAATTGAGATCCACTAGTAGAAACCTTTCATCAGCCCCTTTTTTCATTGCTAAGTGTATGCACACAGTTAAACAAAACACCTTCATCTCTGTTAAATTATCATTATTGGCAAGCTGCAGCGATTTCCCCCCTCATCACATCCTCCATATTTTCACCTGTCTTTTTAAAGCTATTTAAAAGTAAAAGGTAAGCCTTTGTGGTGGTGTTGCAGAGATAAGAACATGATTACTAAAATGAGGGAGGCTCAAAGGGAGAAGGCAATTCATTGTTGTACAGTGGGATGGGTCTTGCATTTACAAACACTTCAACATTTTAACTTTGTCATTAGACAGAAAATGTAATTTGATTTTTTTTAAGGCAAGCAAGCTGTATGTTCTTCAGGCCGGAACACCTTTCAATATTATTTTTTGTTTTCTCCTGAATCCCTCCAACTGTGCTGTAGATCCCTTGTGGGAATATGTACTGCCAAGCCCCCTAATGTTGATATTTCTCCTTCCTCTTCCACCATGTCTTACTTGTCAAAGTATTCTTGTCAAGATAACACTTGTTTCCTAGCTTCACCATATTCCACAGTGAAGTAAATGAAATTTCTTCCCTGCTCTATTCCTCTGATGACAGTTTCATCACCAGCAGGTTTCTGTTTGTTCCTCCTGCTCCTTTGAGTCTCTCCCATGTGTTTCATTGCTCTTTCTCTCAGATGCTCCCTTTTTCTTGAATCACAAATCTATATCTACACTCCATGACTCACATGTGCTTTCTTTATTCCCCAATTGAGCTGCACCTAAAACTATTATAGATTTTTTTCCTTGAGGACACTTTTAAAAATAGAAATGGGTCAGAACAGGAACCCCGGCTCCAAATATCCCTGAATTCTGTGGTGAAAGAGCCAGAATAGATTCTGTATGGAAATCTATTGCTCACACATGCCTCTACATTAAACAGATTCTCCTGGAAGCAATAGGACTAACAAATATTAAATTTCATACAACAATTTGGTGCTTACAATTTGTTCATACAACAAATCTGTTAGTTCAGATTGTCCACAGCTGTGGTAAAAACCACGTGTGTGTGC